CGTCGCCGGCACGATTACGTTTGCGGCGGGAGTCACACGATGCGCGCGTGCAAAGCTAATGTTGCTGCCGCACTTTCTCCAGGGAATGAATCATGAAAGCCACCGGGCCTGATGGAGGGCGAACGCTTCTGAGATTTTACAATCAGTGGCCAGTGGACGGACGTTGCTGGGGCTTTTGCGGTGGCTTGGCGGACGACATCTCTTTTCGTTGGCTCGGTGAAACTTCGTTCCTGCGGCGCTTTGCGCGGTGGCGAGGCACACAGTCGCAGCAGACTTCGGGTGCTGGAGTGCCTCAGGGACGGGGAGGGGAGGGCCCCGTCCAATGATCTCCGCGCCTCTGCGGGTGCGTCGAGAAAGCGCATCCTTTCGGGAAAGGATGTATGGGTTTAGGGTTTAAGGTATATGGTTTAGGGTTTAAGCGTTGTGGCCGCATTTCAACGAATCGCACGCCGAGTCGCAGAAACAGCCGCGTTGCCGCACGTTGCGCGATGGCGAGGCACACAGTCGCAGCGGACTTCGGGTGCTGGAGTGCCTCAGGGACGGGGAGGGGAGGGCCCCGTCCAGTTATTTCCGCCCTCTGCGGGTGTGTCGGGAAAGCCTGCAGACGAGGCATCCTTTCGGGAAAAGCTGCTGGGGTTTAGGGTTTAGGGGTTTAGGGGTTTAGGGTTTATAGGGTTTAGGGTTTAGGGTTTAGGGTTTAAAATTTAGGGTTTAGGGTTTAGGGTTTAGGCCGAAACTCAACGAATCGCGCGCCGATTCACGCAAACGGCCGTTGCTGAAGATAACGCCAGCCACGCAAAGCGGCTTAAGTGGAAAGCAGCCTGCGTGAAATGCGTTGCCGCACGTTTGCGCGATGGCGAGGCACACGGTCGCAGCAGACTTCGGGTGCTGGAGTGCGATTTGTCAAGTTTCGGCTATACTGCTTCACTCCAAAGACAAAACTCGAAACCCTAAACCCTGACAGCCTTTCGGGCGCCGAGTCGCGCAAACTGCTGCGCAAACTGCCGTTGCTCAGTGGAAAGCAGTCTGCGTGTAATTTAACGCGTTGCCGCGCATTTCAGCGATGGCGAGGCACATAGTCGCAGCAGACTTCGGGTGCTGGAGTGCCTCAGGGACGGGGAGGGGAGGGCCCCGTCCAATGATCTCCGCGCCTCTGCGGGTGCGTCGAGAAAGCGCATCCTTTCGGGAAAGGATGTATGGGTTTAGGGTTTAAGGTATATGGTTTAGGGTTTAAGCGTTGTGGCCGCATTTCAACGAGTCGCACGCCGAGTCGCAGAAACAGCCGCGTTGCCGCACGTTGCGCGATGGCGAGGCACACAGTCGCAGCGGACTTCGGGTGCTGGAGTGCCTCAGGGACGGGGAGGGGAGGGCCCCGTCCAGTTATTTCCGCCCTCTGCGGGTGTGTCGAGAAAGCCTGCAGACGAGGCATCCTTTCGAGGCTGTTAGGGTTTAGGGTTTGGGGTGTAAAGTTTTAGGGTTTTGGCCGAAACTCAACGAGTCGCACGCCGAATCGAGCAAACTGCCGTTGCTGCGGGCAAAGCAGCCTGCCGAGTGGAAGGCAGCCTGGCAGCTTGCGTGTATTGCGTTGCTGTACATTTGCGCGATGGCGAGGCACACAGTCGCAGCTGGAGCGCCTCACGGACGGGGAGGGGAGGGCCCCGTCCATTTTTTTTGTTGCGTACCTTCGCCTCGTTTTTCGTTGGCGTTTGAGAGAACGTGAGAACGCAGGTTGCTGGGCGGTGGTCCTTGGACTGACGCGGTCTCGCCGAGATTCTGAAAGCAAACGCAGCAAAGGAGTGCATCCAAACGGGACGCGGTGACAGATTCAATGCCGAATCGCGTGCAAACGGCCAGGGTTCGCCGACATGAGGACCGCTCAAGTTCACAAGACGTCGGGCGAAACCGTTCCTGCGCGCCGGGCAGAAAAGTCGAGGCACACAGTTGCGCCAGGCTTCGGGTGCTGGAGTGCCTCACGGGGCCCCGTCCAGCTTTTGTTTTTTTTTTTTCCCGTTCTTACCTCTCTGGCCCGAACTTCACCGTAGCCCGAGCATGGAGGCCCCAGCTTGTGACTCGTGGCACCAGCAACGGGGCCGGAGCTTCAGGACACAATGGTCTAAATCTTAAGCATTAAACGCCATACTCAAACGCGGGTTTGGGGAGATTTCTACAAAATGTGCTAGGGCGGTACCCGGGGAGTGTTTGCGCGCGTGCATCTCTGTGTGTGTGTGTGTGTGGGTGGGTGAGCATCTGTGTGTGGCTGTGTGCGTGTGCATCTGTGCATCGCACGGCCGGCATGCGCACGTTCACAGATTCGCACGCACGAGTGCTAGCACACGCAGACATATGTATGCAGACACACAGAGGTGTATATAAGGAGTGCACCCACGTATGTCTCGCCCAATTTGTTTTTCCATGCGCGCGAGGCCGGCACGCACATCATTCGCACACACGAGTGCTAGCGCACGCAGACATATATATGTATGCCGATGCACACAGGTGTATGTTGGCCGCGCCCACCTAGGTCTCGCCGAATTTGTTTTTACACGTGTGCAAGGCCTGCATGCACACATCATTCGCACGCACGCGTGCAAGCACACGCAGACATATGTGTGCAAACACACAGAGGTGTATGTTGGCCGCACCCACATATGTCTCGCCGAATCGCTTTTTACAGTAGGCCGGCATGCAGACATCATTCGCACGCACGAGTGCTAGCACACGCAGACACATGTATGCAGACACACAGAGGTGTATGTTGGCCGCAAGCACGTAGGTCTCGCGGAATTTGTTTTTACATGCGCGCCAGGCCGGCATGCACACATCAGTCGCACGCACGAGTGCTAGCACGCGCAGACCTATGTAAGCAGACAGAAAGAGGTGTATGTTGGCCGCACCCACGTACGTGTCGCCGAATTTGTTTTTGACATGGGACCCTTATCGCTCCTGTCGTTGTTCTTCGCGTTCAAACAAACGCAGCAGGCTTGGGCCCGAAGTTTGGGGCCCGGAGCTGGGGGCCTGAGCTTCGAGGCCTGCTGGTTTATAATTTTTCCTTTTTAATGACATTCATGCTACCAGGTATGCCCCAAATTCAAAACATGAACCAGATAGTTGGCCCTGAAAACCATCTCCCGAGATCAGGGCCCCGAGCCTCGGGCCCCGAAGTTCGGGCCCCGAAGTTCGGGCCCCGAAGTTCGGGCCCCGAAGTTCGGGCCCCGAAGTTCGGGCCCGAAGTCCGGGGCTCCGAATCTGCTGGACACTGGTTTATCGTACAAGCATGCGGTAAAAAATGCTCCCTGCTACTTGCCAGGGTTTTCGCATTGGTATGTTTAGGTGTTACTGTTAAGACAAAGCTCGGTCCGGAACCTCGGGTCCCAAAGCTCGGGGCCCGAAGCTCGGGGCCCGAAGCTCGGGGCCCGAAGCTCGGGGCCCGAAGCTCGGGGCCCGAAGCTTGGAACCCGAGCTTCGGGGCCTGCTGGTTCCACTGTTGTATTGATTTTTAGGCACATGAATTAATAATACAACGTATGCCTCAAACATACAACACCATTGAAACTCATCCCCGGAGCTTCGGGCCGCGAGCCTCGGGCCCCGAGCCTCGGGCCCCGAGCCTCGGGCCCCGAGCCTCGGGCCCCGAAGTTCGGGCCCCGAACTTCCAGGCTTGATGGTTTTCGTGCCTGCCGTTACTGACAATATGAAGGAATATACTCACAGTATGTTGCTTCGGAGTGCTTCCTACGTATGACTAGAGCTATATAATGCTTTTGAATCATAAACCAGCGGGCCAGCGGGCCGGCTCGAAGCTCGGGTCCCGAAGCTCGGGCCCGAAACTCCGGGCCCGAAGCTCGGGGCCCGAAGCTCGGGGCCCGAAACTTGGGGGCCGAAGCCAGGGGCCGGAAACTCAAAGATTGAATTTGTCTGCTTCTGTTATATTGGGATGCTTCGGAACTTTGGTTGGGCTGCTTCTGTTATGTTGGAGTTGGGGCAAAGCCGTCCGGATTCTTGGGATTGTCTGCTTCTGTCGTTGGGATGCTTCGGAAGCCAAGACGCTTTGGGCCAAAGCCGTCCGGATTCCTTGGATTGTCGGTTCCACATTCCGTCCGCGCGATTCTTAAATCCTCCACCTTTATCCAAAAACCCAAAACAAAACAACCCGGAAAGTCAAACCGCCCCAAAATGTCTGGTAAACAAAGGCAAGGGTGCATCAACACACGCAGACATAGACGTGTACACACAGACACGCACAGACATACGCAGAGACACGCAACCCTGTTTAACGTGGCTCGCACGCGCACAGGCTTTCGCGTGCCGACACGCATGTGCAAATGTACGACATGGAATTACCGCATGCATGCGCACACCTATGTAAAGATGCACACAGTCATGTTTCAAACATGCACGCGATCGAGCACGCGAGTGAGCGCGCGGCGCGGAGGAAAGCAAGGAGCTGCCCTGAGAACACTGCTGGCATGGCTAGTTGTGGTTTCGGCGTTCTGCTTCGCGGAGCTAGATGTCGTCGTTTAAACCAACATTTTCGCTGCTGAGTGGGTGTGCGAGCGCATCAAGCGTCTGCCAGGAACATTCCGATCAAGTCAGTCGGAAGCCTGGCAGCTCAGAAGGGAAGCCTTGACTGGAGCATGCCGAGCGCATGGATGAGATTAGAATGGTTAACGAAACGTGTTTAACTGCAATTTTCGCTTGCGGCGTTTGACAATGCAGGCGTCTCTGCGGAGTCCCACTGGCAGGCCCGTGGTTGCCGCTTGCATGACGAGTCCCTGAGCGCACGCAGTTTACGCTGCGGTTGTAGCTACTTGTGACGTCCATGTGTGGGCTCAGGGATCAGGATTGTCAGTAGCAGCCGTACGAACAATTACACCCAAGCAGTCCGAGCATGAAGCCTTGCGAGGTCCTCAACCAAGACTCGTTTTGATGAGGTGAGTGAGTGATTCAGGCCATTACATTGTTTTATTTTGTGTTTTTTTTCGCCGCCAAAATCTCGAGCCATGCCGGGTGTCAAGCAAGAAGTGCAAAAAGACCAGCTGGTGCCGGCAGAGGGTGCCAAGAAGAAGTACGTGCGAGACAAACTGGCATCACAAGACGACGAAAAGAACCGAACAACTTGTCGCATGAGATTGAGTGCAGAAGAAATTGAGCTTGTCAAGGCATTCCGCAGAAGCAAGCGGCCTGGTGCTTACATGGAGTTGGAGTCGCGGAACCAGCTCTTGGAACATCGGCTGAAGCACATGGTGCAGCGCGTGTCCGCCTACCTCCGTAGGATAAGGGGCGACGATGCTGTGGAGGAGTTTCTTGAAACTGTTGGCGCGTAAATTAGGACGCGCCTGGCTTGGTAAGAGACCTGGCGGGCCTGGAGCTGTTTATTCCTACCGGTTTTGTTGATCGTAAAGTCTGGTTCGCTTTCATTTGTGAGATTGCCGGACGAAGAGGGGTCTGGCAGGCACCTGCCATTCAGCCAGAATGCAGGAGGGGGCAAAACGCATGCGTGCACGGCACTCTCAGCGTGAAAAGGGATGGGGTCGCTGTGCGGCTGCTTCGGCGTTTTAGAATTCCACAGCAGCATACCATATGAGCTGGACCTGCAAGACTTCTGCTTGTGCCTTCTTGTCAAGCCGGGTGGGGTTTTGGTGTCCGCATACGGGTTCACGCAGCATCCTGACAAAGTCACAGTCGGGGCAGACACATGTGCCGGGATGTGGCGCCTGAAAGCTCGTACTAACCTCATGTTACAATACAAGGTTCGAGTTCAGGGGCAGTGTTTCGGGCGACGGCCATGGCTGCAGAAAACGCAGCGCATGGCAAAGGGTGCAAGTGTTTTACTTGCCAATGGGCGCGACATGCCGAAGATTGGAAAGCCAAGTGCGTTTTTCAAGACGCTGACGGCTCTTGACCTCAGTTTTGTCAGCGGGGTATGTTTGTTGGTTGAGCCCCATCGTTTGAATCTAAGAGTGGCTGCCTGCAGCTTCAGGATTGCTTCGAACCTACCTGAAGAAGTCCGAGCAAGGTGGTTTGGCATGCATATTGTGCCAAGCATTGGCGCAAGCATGCCCAGACCTGGTGAAAAAACGCACGAGTTGGATAGCCGGGACCAAAGGTTTGCCTGCGACGAATCTCGGCTGATCTGCTGTGCAGGTTGGCCCCAAAGGTCTGATTTAGGGTTTTGAACGTTTTCCTGTTATTTTTCCAAGGCAGGGTGCCAAGTGGCCAGTGCTTCAAATTGAAGATTTGCTCCGTCATGGTAACCGGGCGAAGAAATCGAAACAGTGGAACGGCTTCCACCACAAAGCACTTATGCATCATTTGCAGGGCACGCTCAGCCATGAGCAAGCCAAGAAGCTTGCGCCTGGAGGGCATGTAGGGCGAGGAGATGTGCCAGAACGCGGACCTTCCACGATGCAGCTCAGCCTCAGCATGAAGATCCTGCACAGCCCATGCTCGGCGCAAGGTGACGAGTATGCCCGAAGATGCGATGCGGAGCGAAGGCCAGCCCATTGAAAGAACATTTACGAACGAAGAAAAAAATCAACCATTCAGTAACCAAGCAAATAACAACATGGTTATAAATATTTATGAATTTGTTTAATTCTATATTTATTAAAATTTACAAATACTATATATATATACATATATATATACATGTATTTATATGTATATAGATACATACACATATAACATGCTTTTCGACGAGTATGGCCAGGCTTCACCCCCATCAGATGGGCCTCAACCTTTGTGACGCCAGAACGCACTACCGGATCATTGAGTCTTATGCAGAGGTACTTTCCGATCGAACGCGTGCCCGCATGAAGAAGCAGGGTGTCGAAGCCATTGCTCTGGCCCAGGTGCTTCCGCGTTGAATTTCATTATGGTTTGTCGTTCGAAGCTGGTTGTGTTGCCGAGAATGTCCGTATTGCAGGCGACATCACGGAACATTAGCACAGCACAACCAAGGACGCCCGGAAAGGGTTGGAGTTGGTGCGATGCCGCTGCGTGTTTTCGGATTTCTGTGTGCACTCGTTCGTGTTGGACTTGGCAGCGACCTCCGGCATGAAGGACGGGAGTCCGGATGCCTCGCTTGCCGGAGCTGCCACGTATGTTTGCTGTTCCCGAGGATGCCCTGAGCAAGTGCCAGCAGCTACAGAAGTCCATCGCTAGTTTCACTCGCGGCGACCCGGAACTCCAGAGAATGTTCGAAGAGAAGCTGCAGGCTGCTGTGAGGGTATAGTGGTTGACGGGTAACTGTGACGTTGCTCTGGCTGCAGGTGTTTTGCTCTGACGGTGAGCCGTCGGAGCCTCTTTCTGCCAAGTTCCTCCGGGCCAGCGGTTTTTCGAACCTCAAAACGGTCATCAGATGCTCCATGCATGTGGGTCAGCGGTCTTTGGAAGCGGCCATTGAATCGTCTTCGGCCGTGAGCCACCTCGTAGAAACCCTCATCAGCCAATATAGCAGTCATAAGAATGATGGAGAGCTTGGTGGATTCGCGCGAGCGATCGCCAACAGCGACAAATTGAAAGGCATCTTCAACAAGCATGTGGAGCAAGTGGACACCGTGCTTCGCAAAGCGAAGCTGAACTACGCAGCACAACGCTTTGACACGATTTTAGAAGTGAGCCAATGTTTGGTGTTGAATGTGCAACCAGTTCTCTGCACCTTGGCCGAGTGCCAGCTCCGTGACAAGAAACTCCGGCCGTGGGCCCAGAAGCTGACCGCTTGTTTGCAACCTGAGCAATTGGTTTTGCTCGCTTTGGTCGCAGAATTAGCTTCGGTAGCCGCGAGCTACATACATTCTTTCGACCATCGTGAGCGTGGAAGCATTTCTCACCTGGCACGTCTTGCGGCCAAGCGCCATGAGTTGAAGCACCATTGCAACAAGCTTTTTTACTTCCGTGCAGAAGATGGAACTGCACAAGAACCGCTTTGTCTTTCCACGGCTTACACCGCAGGATACATGCAGTTACTCCAAGAAGGGTACGACCTCTGCGTGGCCAAGGCAGGTTTTGGTTACCTCATTCACAACATGTCTTTGTGACATGTTTTTCGTCCCGCTCTGCGCAGGCAGCCGTGCACGGGTCGAAGTTGTTGTGGTATTCGGCGGGCGCTCGCGACCAGGAGCATGTGGAGCAAATGATTGCCAAACAACTCGGTGTTATCCAAGGCGTGGTGGCCAATTTCTTGGCAGGCATCGAGTCGCAGGACTTTGGCGTCAGCGAGGCGCTGCAGCCCTTCGATGTAGACCACTGGGCCCAGCACGCCTCCGACAGCGCGTTGCCGTGAGCTCAGCTGAGAGAGAGGGACGGAGGCGGGAGCAGCATGAGCCTTTAAAGCTGGAAGGCTGGATGTGATGAAGCCCTTGGCTGCTGTTGTGAGCGTGGATGCAACCACGCCTGCAAGAGTGGAAATATGTAAAGTGAAGCTTTCATCATGGCGACCATTTTTTTTTTTGCCATTGCGCCGAGTTGAGGTTCGGGACCTCGTCAAGCAGTTTCTCATCGCCCGGCCCACTACGACCGTGCTACAGAAGTTATTCGGCCGCAATGAGTTCCAGGAGCGTTGGCCGAGCGAAGTGTTTCCATTGTTTTGGGGAGGCGTGGTGTGCGCGATTTGCACGAGTTGTGGCGTTTGACCGCGCAGCACTGGAAGAAGAAGTTGCCGGCCCTGAATGAAGCCGACGCTCTGATTGCTTCGAATAGACATGCAACATTATCCATACATCATGCCTGTTAACTTGTATCTGATGTGGTTGTTGAGGTAGCGCTGCTTCTTTGCAGCTTCGCGGGCACCGCGCAAATCGAACAAAACTTCGCAGTCGTGGAGTTGCACTCAAAGGGCCGTAAAGCCGGCACGACAGTGGAACATCTGAAGTCCGAGCCCCGTGTTGAAACCCATGTTGCAAGGGCCATGCCGTTCGTTTTGCAGCCAGCAAAGTTGCGTAGCTAAGGAGTATGGTGCAAGTGCGATTGGACGGCTTGGCCCCGCACGATTTCATCGTGGAAGACCAATCGGACATCCGTGAAGCAGCGATTCTGAAACTTTCAGAAGATGCCCTGTTGACACAGCACAAATTCCTACAGCTGCATGGCTCCGGGCGGAACGGCCGCAAAACGGACTTGCCACGGAGAAACGTTGCAAAACTGTTGGTGGCTCAGGATTGTTCGGAAGCGGCACAAACTGTGCAGCCAGGGAAGGAATCTCTCCAGTCCCTGAAGCGGAAGAGGCACCAGCAAATCCGCACCATCGAGCCGAGGCCGGGGCAGGAGGACAGCCGATTGGAAGCTGCTGCTGCAGCTTCCCTGGGGCATGCCACAGCCGAGACCAAGCATGGCGTGCTTGCAAAAAAGCTGCAGCAGCTGGGCAGATCAAAAAAAAAACTTTTCTCCGAAGAAATCGGCGGTGATGTCCGCGAGACAGCGCGGAAGTACGAGAAGGCAAAGGCCGCAGAGGCAGCCGTCCGGGAGGAGTTGGAATCATGGCAACGCAGCGGTTTCCGCTTGCATTACTTGGACGCCACTCCAGCCGATCGCAGCAGCGTATTGGTCCTTGCGGAGCAGGATGCAAAAGTTCGCGGCTTGGAGCAGCTTGGGGTCCGCGTCCTTCGATGGACAGGGAGCGTTGCCGACATGGAGATGGCCTTGCAGGCAAAATATTTGATATGGTTGTCGACGTCTCCTGATGCGGAGTCGGAGTTCGTGTTGCCGAAAACGGCGTCAGAGTGGATAGCAGCTTCCAGGCTATTGGGCGGTTACATGGGGACATCTTCCTGGCAACGGGATTGCGAGCAAGCCGGCCAGATTTTTTTGCCCAAAATGCATCTGCAGGGTCAACTCGCGCAGAAGTGCGAGGTCTTCGTACACAAGTCTGCGGGCGAGAAGCAGCTCCCAGTTGCGAAAGTGGTGGCCCGTTCTGTGGACGCGGCAAGCAGAGTTCTGCCTGGACTCTCATGGGTCCTCCGGCGGAAGTGGAAACATGTGAAGAGCAAGAAGGCGTTGGTCTTGGTCGATCACACCTCCCTTGACAAGGTCCGCAAAAAAGCAGCAGCCAAACTCAATATTGGACACAGAGGACGGATTGTGACGCCAGTCCAATTGCTCAACGTGTGTACAGCTTGGACGCTTTGAGTTTTTTGCTACAGCATTTGGGGGAGTGCGAAGCCCGGGGTGCGGCAAACAGAGCCAAAACCGTAGTTCACCGTAGTTCTGCACTGATTGCTTTGGCCGTTCAGCAGGTGGCAGTTGCTTGCTGCTGCGTTGGAGTCGGTGCTGTGCTTGATCTGACGCTTCATTCATGGACCCAAGGCATTATACAGCTTCCAAATCCATGGCAGTCAAGAAGCCGGAGCCACAAAACGACTTGACACGGCACGAACAGCACATATTTAAAATGTCAGGCCTCTTGCGTCGGGACTTGTTCTGCGTGTGTGTGGGTGGGTGGGTGGGTGGGTGGGTGGGCGGGTGGGTGGGTGGGTGGCGGGGGGGAGGGGGGTGGGGGGGTGGGGTGGGGAGTACATGTCCCTAACTTTGGGAGCAGAGGCATGGCTTGTCGATTCGGGGCAAAATGGGGCCAGTTTCGGGCAGGAATGAGAAGCGCGTGTTGGCGTACACGGCCAGCCGTGTCGGCCAAAACCATTATTTCTGGATAGACAACCCAACATGCTTTTCTGAATCCCATGTTGGCGGTGTGCGCCTACTTTGGACATCTTTTGGATGCCTGGGTTTTGGCGTACACGGCCGGCCGTGTGCACCAACATGCGCATACGATTTTGGCAGGCAGTCTGGCCTACATTTCCAATGTTGTTATTCCCCTGAACTCGTACTTGGGTTCTGACCGATCGCTTTTCGGCTCTGGCAGCGCCTCCCCGAACATTCAACATGGCCCCCAATGCAGCCAAGCGAGCGGCTCCTCCTACCGCACCGCCGCTGCGGCGGGTGTCGGGCAGGAAGGCGCCGCCGGCCACAGATCAGCAGCAGAATTCTGCCGCAGCCGAAGCTCCAGGGCTACCGATCGCCAGTAACCCAGAGCGCCAGCTTCTGGTGGACAACATCATGATTCCCATGAACAAGATCCTGAAGGAGATGTCAGATCGAGACGTTCAGCCTGTGTCTCATGCAGGCGTCCAGGCCTTTGACAAGGACAACTTTGCAGCGAGCATGCGTGACGATGCTTCCTACACATGCCATGTCCCACTGCACTGGATCGGCCTTGTGCGAGTCTGAGACATGCGACATGTCACCGGTCTCCTGTAATTTGCTGTTGTCCTCTGAAACATAATAAAGGCCCTTTAGCCTAGGCCGTGGACCACGATGACATGTGGCCTGCTTATGGAACCATTGTGAGGGCCTTCGAGCAGAAGTTTGTCGTGCCCCATACCGGGAAGGTCGTCCCCGCCACATACGGCACAAGTGTGGTGCGCGCCGTCTCCAAATCAGAAGCACCGAAGCCAGGAACGTATGAAATGCTCGACAATGGGACGTTTCGGTACGCCTTCATGTACGGGTTTTGCCGTGCTGTGGAGGCTCAGGATGAGGAACTCATCGCTGAGTTTCAAGCGTGTGCTCTCCGCTTCCCTGTTTCCTTTGAGTTCCTGCCAGACGAGGATGCAAAGGCGGTGCGCAAGATTCAATGTGATGTCGATCGCAAAGCGGACGTGATTTTCGCTGGGTTGCACGGGTACAAAGTGATCAAGGTTTATGCAGGCATTCAGAAGAGCCTCCGTGACAGGAACTTGCCATGCCAAGCTTCGCACATCTACGATTACTTGATCTCAGTCCGCTGGCAGCATGATGACAAGCCTGACTCTCGCAAGATCGAGCAACACTTGAAGATTAACGGGCGGCTGACGCCTGAGACGATCGAGATGCTTGATTGCTGCGAGTCTTGGTTCGGCCAGAAGCACGTCTTGGCAAGCGTGACAGCTCTAGACACGGTCATGGCACGCACATCGTGCAAGCAGCCTGAGCTGCAGGGCAGGCCCGCTTGGAATGAAGTCATCTCGCGTGCCGTGCTTCTTTCCTAGCAGCCCTTGTTTGAACGACAGTCTCACTGCCAGGCTCTTGAATTGGTGTGTGGAAGGAATCCTGGTCAAGCAGCTGCGTGGCGAGCTGAAGGCCTCCTCACAGGACAGCCGGCCACTTGAGTAACGGACTAGTATGCAAAGAGGTCACGGGCCACAGTTTCCTGTTTGCAGGAGAGCAGCGGTAAGGATGCTTTGAGGTCTCTGACCGCCGGCCTACTCTTCGTGCGCAGGCTCGTGTACTACGTGCGGCAGAAGTTCAACGACAAGATCTTGGATGTGTTCTTGTCATGGCGTGCTTTCCACGCTGCATATCCCAAAGGCAAGCCCCTGAAGTTTGGCCAGAAGAATGTCTCATCCGGCGCCCGACTTCTCTTCCACTGACGAATCGGTGCACATGCTTTTGGAAGCAATGTCCCAAGTCTTTGACGGCAACTGCACAGGCATCTTGAAGCCCATGCTTGCCAAAGACCAGTTCCTGGCCCCCGAAGTGTTTTTGGCGAACCAGGAGTTGGTGACTCAATCCTTGTTCGATTGGAGGGCCATCCAGGACAAGAGAATGTCTGAGGAGGCTGCTCGGGAGGTGCGGGACTCTCTTTCGCAGGCACCTCCTCAGCCTCAGGAGCCTTCGTCACCGCCGCCGTCAAAGCCCCCTGTTCCGGTTTGTGCAGTCGATGTCGCTGATACGGAAGCCCATGCTCCAGCTGATGAGGTGGAGGCTGGGTGCCCGTGTGCCACATCATGCATGTAACTGCGAAGCCTCTAGTCACATCCTCTAGTTGTGGTTGAGTCTGTATGAGGAGCCAGCTGTCGACAAGACGGCCTCTGTGAAGGCTTTGTTCGATAAGCTGCTGATTCCCAGCTCCATGATGGACACTCTCACATCGGTATCGCTCGAAGCCCTGCAAAATGTCATGACCCTGGCCCAGACACGCGCCTGTGCATAGATTATGGCATGACCTAAGTAGTAGTTCCTGCCCTGCCCGGCGGTGTCCAAGCATGGGGTTTCCACTGAGGCATCGGGGGCTTTATCACTTACTCAGAGATGCCGGTCACCGACTTGGAGCATGCGCTGAAGACCTTGAGTTTGCTGCAGGGCAAAGTGGAAGGCCAAAGGACATTGTGGTGGTACGACAACAAGTCCTACAATGACAAGTTCTCCTTGAAGGGCACCCGCCCCTTCAAGGCCACCGCATCTTTCGAGGAGGCTTTCTTTGGCAATGCATTCGATGGGTTGCTGTCAGAGTTCGGCGACAACGACCTCTTCATGGCATGGGACGGGCGGAGGAGCGGAGTTCTGGAGAAGATGCGCAAAAAGATGTCGTCGGCCATAAAGCACTCCGAGAAGTTCACAAAGAGGCCTTTGGGTCAGCCTTTCCGCGTACACTACAACAACTCCGAGTTCAACGATGGTGGGTATGCCCGGTGCAAGGTCGGCGAGTCCATAAGCAGTCGGCCATTGCTGCCGGACCCATGCGAATCCGTCCTGATTCTCGCCGCGAAGGGTGCCAAAACATCAACCCGTAACAGACTCTATGTGGACCTGCCGGGCACGAACTTGACGCGGGGGCTCTCTGGAGCTCAAATGAAGACCAAAGAGGAACATGAAGTGCAGGTCCCCAAGGCCACGCACGTCAACATCTGCAAAGACATGAAGGCTGCAGTGGACACCGACGACCAGGGTGGCTTTCCTGGTATGCCCGGTGCAGAGCTGCCGGCAACAGATGAGGACCAAGAGACAGCTCCTGTCACTGCGGTGCACCCATGGCCGTTCACGATGAGCCTGGAGATGCACAGAGAGATGCTGAACATGTTCAAAGGGGATGCTAAAACAAAAGTGGTGAACTTCACTGTGGGCTTTGGCATGCTGGAGTCGGCTTGTCTCGCTGAGGGCCTTGCTTGTCATGCATTCACACTGAATGCAACGCATCGTGCGTTCGTGCACCAAAGGATTCTCCTCGCCGTGACCGTTGACATGCTTCGTGGAGGAACCAAGTTCATCCGCCGCAGGGTGCTTTCTCGGGAGCGATCCCTAGGTGGTGCTGATGCACCATCGTCGAGTGAGTTTGGGTCGCCAGATTCCAAGAGGACGATTGCGGACCACGCCCCACAAGGAAGTGAGAAGGTCGAGAAGGATCAGGACAACAAGAGCGGCGGCGATGATGGTGTGTCGGAGTCGTCTGAATCCTCTGCGGATTCGGGTGAGGATTAGGATGCTTGAACTTTTGCAGCCTAGCAGGAGGTCCATCAAACGTAGCAATCATGCCAGATAGTAGCTTACCCTCAACCGCACACACGCACACACAGCCAGTGCAGCGGTCATTCCTCACAGCACGGACCTTTTGCAATTTGGCCTAAACCGTAGCCTCTTCAATCACGCACAGATGTTGAAGGTCAGGGCTTCTTTCACATTGGTTTTCCGATCGCCTGAACTTGGTGTCAGGCATGTGACATTGGCTGAAGCACATGCTCACAGCTCCATTGAACGAGGTCCGATTTTGACATGTTGCCTCCGTGGCCGAGTATCGGAGCTTTTGTGTCCAGGCCTGGCCGTTTTCGCACGGCCGAACTTTTGACCCAGACACCTTCGTGAAACAGGGAAACCCAACAAATAACAGTAGGCAAATCATGCAGCCGTGTGCAAAGTCTCTGCGGAGGCAACGCGAAGTTTGATTTGCTTTCCATTCACCAGCATTTGTTTTGCATCAAGTGTGCGCTACCGCCTTGTGTCTCCTGCCCCAGACGCCATGAAGGGTTACGCGGCCATGGCAAACCAGCAGTACCGGGATCTGCTTCGGGCGCTGCACAATGGAACACGTGTATCCCCAGTTGCGTGCACCGAGACGTCACTCCAAGCCATCCACGACCAGTTTCGCCTGAACACCCGAGCACTTGGCTACAGCACGTCTGATGGCACGGTCAAGTCGTCGAACTTTCGCAAGCGCCGCGTCCACGAAGCCCATGTGTTGCATCGCAAGGCTGCGCGATGAACAATGTTCAACACCATGTTGCACTGTCCGTTGTTAAATCTCGCGTGAGACATGCGGCAGGCCTTCATGCTCATGATTGTCACCGTCCATGATCCACAGGTCGCATTCGAGAAGAAAGCGATCGTAGCCCTGGCGGGGAAATCCTTCCACTGTGTTCAGCCCCAGAGCGACCATGTGAGCATCGACTTCCAGGAAGTCACGCTGGAGACGGTTGTCGAGAACTTCTCGCCTCGCCAGCTCGGTTCCTGGCGCTTCTTCGCCTTGCACGATGCGAACAGCCAGCTGAAGGTCGACAAAGTCATCAAGAAGAACATGCTGCGTCAGGCCAGCATGTCCCAAAGAACTTTAAGTTTCATAACCGCACGTGCGAGCTTCTTCCCAGGACGAGGAGCTGCCAAACCACGCCCGGATCTATTTCCGGGACCTCTCGTCGGCTTGCATGATGGGTTGGTTGGCTTTGACTCCCGTGACTCCCGGCGCCCTGTCTGAGAGGATCGAGGTGGATGTGTATGTGGCACATGAGAAGCCAGCAGGGTTCGTGTACCATGATGTCGACAGTTCCCCCTTGACGGACGCTTGGCTGCAATTGGGTGGCTCATGAGGACATGGGCGTACCGTCATTCACGAATTCATAAAACGAAGGAGGTGTATGTGGATACCACGCAAGTTGTGCAATTGTTCCCGACAGCGGTCGTTACATCTGGCATCGTTGTCGAGCCCAACGGCGGTGTGGTCTCGCTGACGGCAGCTTTGGAGCGGTTGAGTGGCGAGCTGGCGACGCAGGATCTCCACGCTATGACCGAGAAGGTTGAGTTCTACAAGCGTGAGCTTGCGGATGCTGAGCGTGACTTGGTGTCGAAGCGCCGGGCTCTGGGCAGCGGCGTTGTCAACGCCCTGCCTGTTTCAGGCGCCACGGCGGCGGGGGACGAGAGCGACAGCAGTTCTGGTGCAGCCGAGTAGATTCACCAGCAGCTTCGATCTTTTGCGCCTGTCCGGCCGGCCGAGTTGTCCAGGACGGCACAGCTCAGGCTGGCCGAGCCGAGCAGAGTTTTTGTGCAGCGCAGATCCGTACTGCGTGCGTCGCCTGTAAGGTAGCAGCATGGACACCAACCCAAACAGTTGTTTGATCTTGTGTGCGTCGCATGCCAGTAAGGGTTTGTGCGATTCCTCACAAGACTGCAGGAAGTTTTCAAAACAAATGTCGATGTGTTTCTGCTGTGCGACTGAGTGCATGATCGGTCCTGTGTCACGTGCAGTTTTCGAAGCATCAAGTCGGCGACATTCTTCGCAGCAGCCCGTCGGTTCTTGCAGAGGTACCAACGGTGTCTCTTGTTCGTGCTCGTGCTCTGTTGGAAGCATGGTGAAAACTCAGAAGCGCCCAGCAGCGTCAGCGCAGGCTGGTCGGAAGAAGGCAGCGAAGGACAAAAGCTTGAAGCACGAGGCCAACATCACAGTGCTCCCTGGCGCTTTCAAGTTGCGGGAATACATAAAGCTCTTGACCAATGGGCAGGGCGTGCTGAAGGACGCGCCAGCGCTCGTTTGGTCGTCTTCCTGCGACGGCATGGACCCGGTCAGCCACTTGTTCAACGCAATGGGCGTGCCGAACGAGCACTTGTTTGGCGCGGAATGCGACACAGCGGCGGCGACGTTTGTCTTGAGCCAGCACCGCGCGCTCCAGCCGCAGCACCTCTACCAGGCCCGGTTCTCAACCCGCCGCGGGGTATGTTTTTGAAGCTTAGGCGATTTTAGGGGACGGGTTTGGGGTTTTCCTGTGAGAAGGGCATGCCGGTCAGAGGCTTTTCCGAAGTCCGTCTTGCGGAAGGGGCATCAGCTTGCAAGACGTTCATGTCGGCATGCGACGAACGTTGCACCAATCTCATTGCCGCTGGTGCTGCTGGCTGCTTTTTTTCGTCTCAGGGACACTGTTTGCGACCGTATGTCGAAGTTACACGCGCTGCATGAGTAGTGCAAGGGTTTTCTGCAATACTTTTCGCTGCCTTCCGCGAGTTTAGACGAGAGGACGTGCGCATGACTGGGGAGAACCCGAAGATGCGCCTGTTGTGCTTGAAGCACGGAAGAAGTTGCAGCATGCCTTCGGCGCAATCCCTGCTTCACCTGGCCGGTTTCACGTGCAAAGGCAACTCGACACAGAATACAAAGCACCGCTGGTCGAAGGAGACGGGCCCGCTCAGCACGGATGACCCCTCATTGTCCTGCTTTCAGATGGTTTTGTCCACTTTGCGGCGGACAAAGCCGCGGTATGTGGTGCTGGAGAATGTTGTCGGGTCCACGCTACGGGCATGCACAAGAAACGATTGGCAGTAGGCTTGCTTCGTTGAGTTTTGTTGATTCAGTTTATTTACAGAGGAGTGTATGCAAATGCAACCCCAAGGCTTCCAGAGAAGAAGTCCGGCACCACACCGATGCAGACGTACCTGCAGATGCTGAGGGAATCCCTGCCGCAGCATGAGTTCTGCACAGTGGGGACGACGGCCGCGCCGCTTCCACAGGTGCGGCCGCGAGTCTGGATTTTAGGAGCTGCAAAGGATGCGGGGCTGACGCCGGAAACTTGGGCGAAGGCTGTTTCGCAGCTCGAGAACAGGAGCCATCAGCAGCATCACCACATCCACACGTGCTATCAGGCGGTGACGGACCCTCGCGCTGGCCAGGCCAGCAACATGGACTGGAAACAAGAAGCGGCGTACGCCGAATGTTTCGCGAAGGCGCTCGAGAAATGCGTCGCCCACAAGAAGCTGGATAAGTCGGACCCCGTGCCAAGACGGGACGCCCGCCTCAGCGCGTCATTCAAGTTTGACACGCCGTGGCAGGCAGCGAATGCAGACGTCCTGGCTCTCATCATGAAGAAGAAGGCATCCAGCGGCACAGATGCAGATGCTGCCGAAGGCATTGCCGACCTATCTCAAAGTGCTTTCATGGCACGTGTCTCCCACAGCGGTGTGTGGGGGACGCTGACAACATCCTCGGCCCTTTTCGATTTTGGCCGCCGCATGCACGTGCCAGCAAGGGCACACATGAAGATGAATGGTTGGGACGATGTTGATGTGAAACGCCTTTCCGATGCCGAGGTGCGAGAAGGCATGGGGAACGGCATGGCGCTTCCAAGCCTGTGCCGCATCTTGTTCCCACTGCTGCAGCACCTGAAGTATTTCCGCTAGGAACCCCTGGGCGCAAGTGCTCAAAGATCTTGCTGAGTAGATGGCCTTCTCGGAAAGCCCAGTTTTGACAGTTTTGATTTCCAGCCCATGTCCGTTGTGCCCAGACATCATCACAACAGAAGACGTGCTTTAGCAGCCCGACTGCTGCAGCGTCCAGCACAGCGGCAACCATCATCGGCTCATAGATGTCCCCTGCCTGTCATAGCTGCCTTCATCCCGTCGTGCACGCAAGCGTTAGCTGTTGAGCATCAAAATGCATGAAGCTTCCTGTGCACAACCGTGCGATTTCGGTTGAACTCTCAGCTAAACACGCTTGTCAGCGAAGGCTGTAAGCGTGGGATGAAGGCTGCGGCGACGTCAGGCATGATGTCTCACAACAACGGACCGAGCAAAACAAGAAAGCTGCTTCTTGCTACTGTGGCAGAACAGAGTGGCGATGTTTGTGAAGCATTTCCTGTGTGGCGGTGACAACTTCTAATGGGTCAACCTTGGATGCCCGTTCTAATGAACAAACATTCGCTGTCGCGCATGACATCCTTGTGGCAGCTTTTGGCACCCGCGCCTTGGTTAAACAGTAGACAAAGCCATGGCAGTTTCCAAAGACATCGTCTGGGTTGGGGGCACGATCTCTTGCCCCAAAATTTTGTTTCCGGGAGCGACGGTCCATAACCTTGCAGACAGCATGGAGCAGGCTCGCCTCTTGCAGCGGGCGCGCATCAACAGTTCCTTCACAAAGGTGACGGTTGCGGATGGCCTGAGGGTGACGAGCGGTGAGTGTGTCGTGATGGGCATTGTGGGCAGCAAAGTCCTTCAGCGGCATGTTCAGCAAGCCATGTCAATCCAGAGTTGCAAGGGCATGGGCTTCCTAGTTGGCGACGTGCCTAAGACGGACTTTCTCCAAGAAATCCCAGGATGGACATACGCCCTGCGAGAGCTCCACTACAGCCAGTTTGGTGAAGGTCATTCACACGAGGGTTGCGCAGTGCTTCTTGTCCTCGTGAAGGGCAATGTCGAAGGGTTGGCAACCCGGCTGGCGTCGCTGTGCGGGGAAGGTATGAGCCAGCGCACGTGCCCCTGCAGCGCCTGTCCGGATCCAGATGGCCCACGGTCCACCATGAGCTTGGTGTCGACGCCGTCGGACGAGAAGATGAAGGATGCTGTGGATCTGCTGCGCCAGGGCGCGCCCGAAGGCCCGCACTACATCGACTCGAGCCGCAAGCGCCGTAAGATTTCGACAACGCCCTTGATGACAACTCGATCGTCCAGGAACCTTGTTCTGCTCAACGGCGATGTGTACGTGCTGGGCGTGAATGAGGCACTCATGTCCTTGGGATGGTGCGATGATGTGAATCTCCACTTGCTAGGCAGTCTCGCAACCCAGCAATCAGTAATCAGTGGTCTGTTGCCAAAGGCGCTTGTCAGGGCAGCTTGCGAAGCAACGCTGAAGGTAACTCACAGCATGTGACGTTGCACAGACGCTGAGCCGTGGGCGAGTTTTGAGTTGCAGCAGCGTCCAAACAAGTAGGAGTGGGGTCTCTGTACTGAAACTGCAGTTGGTGCTTGGCTGATTTTGGATTTACTGCCCGCGGGCTAGCTGCTGCTGGCCGTGAAGGTTGAGCTGCTTCTTGAAGATTTCTGCGCAGCAGTACTGTTCAAATGATTGGGACCGCTGAGTATGAAAATCACTGCAGGCTGCTTTCGCTGATGCATGGCATGTGCAGCAGGTTGACAACAGTACCGGCAGCTTGCGTTCTTCAAAACACATGTGCATCGACAGGTGCTGTGCCATTGAAAAGCTGCGTGCTCAGAAGCCGCACCCGTGTCCAAGTCAGTGGCCGGCCCGTTATTTGCACGGTCTGTGTGTGTGTGTGTGTGCGCGCGTGTGTGCGTGTTTGCGTGTTTGCGTGTGTGCGTGTGTGCGCGCGTGTGTGTGTGTGTGTGTGTGTGTGTGTG